TTGGAAAAAAGTACATCGCTGAGATATAAAGACGTAAATGTCTATTTTAAGGTTATTTAATTCAAAATCTCTTATCTTTAATGCACCTTAATTCATGTGTATTTGTCAATACATATAAATACGTATATATATAAATATGTGTGTGTGTATATATATATATATATATATATATATAAAATAAAATAGAATGATTTTGAATCTAAGAGACAAAAAGCAACTGAGATCGTTTAGTGAATAAAAATGACATCATCCAACAGACAACGTTATTTCAAACTGTCTTGAGCTATTGACGTCTTAGATCGTTTCAATCCGATATACCATATTAACTCTTAAAAAAAACATTCACTCAACATTTTAGTTTCCAAAATTGACATCCTTAAAATTAATTCCCCTAATATCCCCCATTCCTAATTGGTCTTTATTCAATACTTTGTTTTGCCTCCAACACTGACCCTCGCTCTCTCTCTCTTGTGCAGTAAACCCACACACAATCTCCCTCAACACCATGCGATCTCCTCTGGTTTCCTTTCCATACCGGACATTACAATATATTTTCCCCCAATCATGCCCCTGATGTTGTCTAATTCAAACTCTAATCTCTTCCCCATATCGCCCCCTTCTCTCTTTTTATACTCTATAAAACCACTACTCTATCTCTCTCTCGCCCTTCCTATTATTTCCCTCCCTGTGCATCCCGCTACTGCTCACTCATCTCTGGGTATGTCTTCCCTCTCCACCCACGTTTCACGCCCTAACTATCTCAGTTTGTTTCTGATACTTTTTTCGTTTTCTCCCACTCTATCTCTGTCTTTCTGCTCTCATCTCCTCAGTGACTATTCATTCTCTCTTTCTCTTGCACAACTAGCCCATGCCACCAGCTTCACTCCAACGAACATTTTATTTTCTCTCCCTTTTTGTCTCCCTCACTCTGTATCTCTATTTCCCTCTCTCCACCGTCATGCACTGCCACAATCATCTCCCACCACAGCCATAAACTCTCTTTCCTCCTCTTGCAGCACTGCCACAACCACCACCAAAGTCTTCGCCACTACCCTATCACACCCTTTCTCTTTCCCACAGCCACTGCCACAACCCCCACGAAATTTTATTATTTTCTTCGTTGATTGTGTTTAATGAAATGTCTCAATGATTATTTAGGCTCCCTCTCTGTCGATTGTTTTATGGTTTGGTAAGGCGACAATTGAGACCCATAATCAAGTGACTTTTTCAAATAAAGGTTCATGCTTCGGTATCTCAGCGGCCATTCTGTGAGATTTCGAAGTTAAGGGCTTTGATTCACTTAGTTGACTTGCTTCATTTCAAATTTTGTTCTTAAATAAATTTTGCTTAGTGTTGTCACTTGCAGGCTCTATGGATGGGCTTGCAGTTGGATCCACAAAGCCTTAGTAAGAGATAATCGTTTTAGTGCTTCATTCTTTATGAATCGGCCTTTATATGTTGTATGATGTTTCATTTTTTAAACTTTTTTGGTCTTTAATCTATTTTTTTTAATCCATATTATGTTTGCTTGACATGCTAGGATAAATAGATTTTTTTACTTCTCCATTGTATTGTGATCCATTAATGGGATTAAATGTTAGATTTGCATCTTCAGATCAAAGCATATTGTTGGCATTGCGGCAAGAGACCTTTTAAAGAACCTCCATTTGTATATTGGGTGGGAAGAGATGGACAATATTGGCCTCAGAAAAGAGACAGGTGATCAGTTGCTACACCATTGAGCAGTGAAATGAAACAAGTATGAATTATTACTACACCATTTATAAGTAACTGATTTCTTTAAATTTTTAGTTTAATGTTTGATTGAAAAAATTATATTTCAATTTGTTTTGTTGTGTCACACCCCGATTTTTTTTTATTTTACAAAAAAAAAAACCTGGACGTGATTAAGGAATAAATTTACACCAAACTTACAATATCCTTCCTTGTATTATTATATTATGCGTACGAGTACATAATCCTCATATGATTATTTTAACTATTCTTGATACAACAGAAAGAGAAATAATAATAGCAGACTCTATCCATAGTCATTTCAGCCTATCCTCTGGCCTTCCAAACGACACACCAAGGAGAAGAAAGGAAGGGAAAGAAGAGAAAGGGAAAAAAAGGAAGGAAAAGATCAAAATTTTTTCGACCTAGAAGTGCGATTTTGCGATTCAAAGGTAGAGTTTCTTTTATCTTTTACTATCATTGATATATTTCATGTATATTTGGGGGTTTCATATCAAATATATTTTTAATTATATAATGTAATATTATATCGCTATAATCATGGGGTTAAACTAGGATTTTATAAATAAATCGTGATCATGCACGTGTTGTATTTTTATTGAGACCCTAATTATCTTATGAAATCATGTTGGATAATAATGTTTTTTTAATGTTTGATTTGTTGTGGGGTCTAGCTACGATATGACTTTATTTTGTAATTTTGACAAAATTGCAATGAATGCACATAATCGAGGGCAGAAAGTTAGTAGATATGTGACCCTTGCGAGGTTTCATGGGATTCTTACTAGTCCTTGGATTCATTGGTTAGTAATATCGGTTGTTGTGGTAGTCTGTGTGGCACCACATAATTCCCAGTATTGGTGTTTCCAGAAAAGCAAGAAGGGCATGGGTTCCCTAAGGTGTAAGACCCCAAAGTTTTCTCCGGAGGCGGTCATGCGTGAACCAGAAAATTGACGGATTGATATGATCGATATGTACTAAAATTTATTTATTTATTTGATTCATTACTTTACCCTATTCCTGCATTTTATCCGTTATTTAATTATATTATGCATTGTTTTAAAACCTTGGTAGTCTTTGATAAACGTTATCCTACTGAACTGGTGAGCTCATCCCTATCTAACATTTTTCAGATATATGAAGTCGGGCCGAAGGATAGGCTGAAAGGACCATGGATAGAGTCTGCTATTATTATTTCTCTTTATGTTGTATCAAGAATATTTGAAATGATCATATGAGGATTATGTACTCGTACGCAGAATATAATAATACAATGAAGGTTATTGTAAGTTCGGTGTAATTTTATTCCTTAATCACGTCCGGGTTTTTTTTTTTGTAAAAGAAAAAAAAATCGGGGTGTGACATGTTGCTACTAAAATTAATGGTTTCCTATTTTTGTGGAAGATAGGAGGAGTAGGAATGAGTGATGTAGGTGGTAATAGGGAGTGTTCTCTCTCTCCCTCTCGATTTCACCCTATTGCCATCCTTAAAATCACACTTCCTCCACACCACACCACCGAGGACCACACCACACCACGCGAACACCAGTGACAGTGATATTCCTCTCTTTGTGGGTTTGTCAATTGATGTCTGTGGGATTTTTATTTATTGTTTTAGTGGGTTTCTATAAGTTCTATGGGTTATTTAATGTTTGTTCTATTTTATGAGATTTGGATTTTGTATGCTTATTATACTTTTTACCAATGCAATATGAAGTTGTTTGCTTATGCATATTTTTATTCTTTGTGGGTTTTTTTTGATTGAATTCATTACTGATTCTGTTGTTTTCAGATCTCAAACAGTATACTGCCACACCATGCCTCTTTCCAAAGAAAGACCACCGCCATCTACTAAGAAGTTTAATTTTACGCAAGTCTTTCACGGCTAGTGAGGTTGTTGCTTTATCAGACTTTTGATTGGTGATGGAAGATGTTGACCATGAGTGGCTCGCTGCGGATGAACATATACACCCCCGCTAACTTGCAATGAAGGATTGAGGTTTGGATGAAGTTACTCATGTTGTTGACAGAGTGGAGTGTTTTTCTGATACTTTAGTGGTGTATGAATCTAAATGGAATTTAGATGACTCAATATTGTAAAGATTTGAATCCCCTCGAACACTTTGGTATTAACTATGATCTTATATTTCTCTCGGGAGTCATTTATGTAGTTATTTTTATTGCATGAAACTATATGTTTATTGGTAGTTGGCTATTAAGTATTTTTTTTTTTGTTGCATTGCATTGGATGGTAGGAGTAAATTTACTTCATAAGTTAAAAATTTTATCTATCCTATTTTTTGACTTCTCTGTTTATTTGTAGAATATCAGTTATTGTAAATCAAACATAGCACATGTGTTTTTGATTGACGATTTTTTTAGAGTTAGATAATACCTTCAGGCACGGGCATTAGCTAATATATATATATACTTGTCGTTAAATCTCTTCTCTAAATTTTGAATTATTTTTAATGCACCTTGATTCATGTGTATTTTTTTTTTAAAATAATTTTATTTTCAAATTATATTTCTAGACTGATAGAGTAGGGTATCGGGCCTATCTAGCACAATAGCCTACTGCCGTTGACCAGCCAATGGCTCGGACTAGTCCCAATTTTGGCGATCACACTTAATAATTCTGACAAAAATCACTCAAGATCTTTGGCAAAAAAATTTTTGACTGTTATCTATGAAAAATTAAATACATAAACTAATAACAAAAGCATAATTTGGATCATGTTTTTGAATTTCAAATTTTATGGACAAATGTTGGTGGCAGAATTTTTGAGCGTGATCGAAGGAGTATGATTTATAAGAATAAAATCAGAGTATTTTCTCAATTAGGGAACATAATTACTGTTTAAAAGCTATTTAAACATTATCTAAAGGGCATTTTAGAGTTTTTAAAAAATTATGAACTTAACTCCTTATTAATAAGAGTAAAATATGACTTATTCCCAAATAAATTTATATGATAGACTAAACTCATTAAAAGTCTCCTAAAGATGACTCACCCCCAATTCTCACTAAGTTTATAACTTACTACACATTAGACTGGCCTTAAATGTCCTTTTTATATCAAATATTTTCAACTTTGACGTATCCTTTAATTTTCTTTCAAAATTAAACCGGCCATGGGTCGGGTCATGGGCCTAACATATGGACCATCTTTAGAGGTGGTAGGTTATTGGGCCACCCAACGTCACGTTTTGGGTGGGTCCTGCTCAAAACCCAATTTTTGTAGAGCTAACGGGCCAGAGCACCAGCGCCGGGCTTCGCGCCAATCGATGTGACAAAAATGATAATCTTTGGATAATCGGGGGGTGGACTTACCAATGGAGGAGAGAAAAACAAAGGCCCAGCTGATTCAGCAGGCCAGTGACCATCATGGGCCTGAATGGTAGAGAAGAAGCTGATGGCCCTTCTCAGCGTAACTGTCACTGCTTCTTCTGTCACATCTTCTATCTCCTGCACTTTTATTGGTGGTGGAATGGGTCCACATGGGTTCTCCTTCCTAAGCTGTAGTTTGTACATTATAAAAAAAAAAAGAAGAGAGAAAATGGCTTAAAATAGGAGAGAGAGAAATGACCAAATGCAAATAAAAGTAAAGGCCATAGTAAGGGTGTGGAAGACTCTTGTGGTATCTAATTTGGGTGATAATCAAGTTGTATCGAGTACTTAGTAACCCTAATCTAATTTATTTAATTAATTGAGTTTGATATTCTAACACTAACTTGATTTGTTCATTATCATGTCATATTCGGATTGTCCCGTAAAATTAATGAATCAGAAATACAACATTAAAACCCTATTATTTCTTAATAAACCCACCACTCATAGTTTTTTTTCTCTTTTTGAGAAGGCTACAAATCTATTAAATCCTTCTAACATTAAATATAAATGAAAATAATCTTACTTTACAAGGATTCACTACCTGAGACCTGATAAGAAATGACAAAACTTAAAAGGCATTTTATTCAACAATGCCTATTACCCATGTCAAATTTAGGTTATGCGTGTTTGATACTAATCCGACTTTTTTATAATTTGTATTAATATATCGTGTCATCTTTTAGTTCGTGTCGAAAACTGGTTAATTCTTATCAACTAATTTTATGTCAGGCCTGTCTCATTTTAAAAAATCGTGTCAAAAAATTGTCACCATAATGTTTAATGATAGAGTCGTGGCGTGTCATTTAGGATTCATGTCAAGTTCATGCCCTAATCTTGTTAATGAAAATTCTTATTTTATAATAATTCATACAATATTAGATAAAAAAAATAAAGACCATGTATTTTTTTTCTTACAATATCAATTAAATAGATTGTTCATGCATAACATGAACTCGACCCACAATTAAGTATTTAATGAATCGTTATATGATACCATCACAAAAATTTAGTTCGTAAAATTTAAAGATTATTTTTCACTGATCATTAAAAAATTTAATTTGTGATAATTTCATGACCACTTATTTCCTCATTTATGACATAATTCAAAATTTTTGAATTATATACCATCATAAACATTTACGTAATACCATTGTAAACGTTAGTTGTGAGTTAGTGCATTATTAATGATATAAAGTCACGTACTTTATACCTTGATTTTGTAACACATTTCCTTCTTTCTTTCCGTTGGTCATCAAATTTGCCCAAATAAATGAGAATCAACTTGTCTATGAGAACAATATCCCCCATTTAGTAATTAAATGTTTAATGTGATGCTATTATGCTTTTTGAATACACTAAATGAATATCCAATGGGACGAGAAAATATTCAATAAAACGGTAATTCCACGTCAACATTGATGATATAGTATTACCAACTAATAATAAAATTTCAAATGAAAACAATGAACATCACTTAGGTAGTTATTCTCTTACATGAAAGAAAAGTTGTTAGCTATTAACTTTTATGGACATATAGTTATTGATTTATGTAGGGTCCCTTTTCTTATTTATATATTATTAATTTGTGATATCATATCATTAATGCTAACATAGTATCATCCTTACAATGAATATTAAGTAGTCTTGTTTATGCCAACTATGGAATTATTTACCAAACTACTGTCCTTTTCAAATAAATATACCAAAATACGGTATTTTTAAACTTATTTATTAAAATAGGACACTTTTTAAAAATTGAGTCAATAATTCCGCTTTTTAATAAAAGCGGAGTTAACAACCCCGCTTTTGTTAAAAACGGGGTTAATAATTCCGCTTTTAAATAAAAAATGTGGTACAAAATAATGAGCCTAACATGTGAAAAACGTGATTAGTAACCACGCTTTTCACGTGTTTCAACTGGAGTTTTTTAACAAACCTTCCATGAGATGAGTTTCTTCACAACCTTCCATCACAAAACCTACCCAAGAACAATTCCCATCTTAAGACCCATTAAACCCACATTTTTCACTCTTCCTAAGCTGTCAAGCTCAAACCCACCTTCCATCAGATGTGTTCATGGAAAATCTGAGCACTAATTTGTCTCTAGAATTTCAATGTGTTCATGGAAAGCTAACTGTAAAAGCAGGGATTCGAATCCAGAATTTCTAACTAACTGTAGCTACAAGAAGGTCCTTGACTACAAGGTCCGATCATCACAATCACAATTGGACACTTCTGATCTTTTAGAATCTTACTGGGTCATTGACAAACAAGAATGAACGAATCGAAATTTGCCCAACAGCATGGTTTTTCTAGTCTATTAAGCACTTAAAGAAATAGGTCAAAAGAAAAACCCACAATGACCTATTACTCTCCAAGAAGCTACGGTGACTCCTCTTGTGGTATATCCAGCACCACCACCAGAAGCTCCTCCTTCTACGGTTGCTTAGCCGACGATTTCAGATAAGTGAGAATGCAACAAAATTATTGAGGAGTTCATGGCTTCGGTTAGACCCATAGAGGAGGAGAGATAGGTGGGAATGAGTCCAACTAAATAGCAAAAGATGGCTTACCAGATTCCTGGGATTTTTTTGTGAACCGCGTGTTTAGTAAACACGCTTTGCAAAAAAATCTTAAAAAATGTGTTTAATAAACACGCATTTAATCTGTTACCATTTTTTTTGTTATTAAAAGAGACTGGGTTGTTGAATCTGTTTTTTATCAAAAGCAACATTGTTGATTCCGCTTTTAAAAAAATACCATCATTTGTTAAGTAAGTTGAAAAGTATAATATTTTGGTATATATGTTGTAAAATAACAGTATTTTGGTAAATAACTCGCCAACTATGTGGGAGAGAGAGAGAGAGAACCTGCATGCGCATGAATAGATCAGCACTTTGTTTGATTCGGAAACGATTCTTCTTGAACTGGCGGCGAACATTTTCAACTTGAGCTAGTTCTTCAGGAGTTCCGGCGGAGGGATCGAATTCCCAGTTTTGTCGGCCAATGTGATTGTTAGTGGTGGTCAGCCATGGTCCTTCACCTTCAGCTATCTTCAACTTCCACATTTTCTATGCCTAAGGTACGTAATCAATTAGAATGTAAATGAAAAACATTGGTTGCAGCATCACAAAAAAAAAAGATGAAGGCGTTTTCGAGTCAACCACGAGTTGAGTGAGTCATCATTGATATGAAACGTGTATCTTTATCTAAACAGAAGTGATTACACTAACATTTTGATGCATTGGTTGCACCATTGCAAATAGATGAAGGCGTTTTCGAGTCAACCAGTAGTTGAGTGAGTCATCATTGACATGAAATGTGTGTATCTTTATCTAAACAGAAAGTGGCAAGTTCACTATGCTTTGGCTTGGCTGAGTTGTATATGTAATGACCCATTTTTTGAACACCTGATTGAAACCCTCTCATTAGGGGAAACCCTAAGAATGAAAACAAACCAAAGAAGCATATATGTAAAAATGAATCCGTGTGTGTGGATATACCTTGAAGATGTAGAGAAAAATGTTACAGATTTTTGTTCTTGAAGTAGAGTGTGAAAGCTGAAAGCACAAAAGAACACTTCTGAGGTGCATATTCTGGGCAGAAGCCTAAACCTTTTATATTGAACCACAGAGAGAGAGAGAGAGAGTTGGTGAAGGGGGGTTGTTGTAACATGAGCTCGGCACTGATGTAATGTCCAGGAAACTACTCATTAACTTTGGCCCATCCTAACTCGCACGGATAGTGTGGTAGGAGAAATTTTATCATGTGTGCAACACACCATGCAACTTGGCTGGTATGGTTTTAGTTTGGGACACATCATAAATTTAAATATGAATTTAGATAGTAGTTTTAAGATTTAATCCATACTTATAATAGAATTAATTTTTTACAGCTTCCCTGTAAACTAGTTATTTACGGTTAGACAATAGAGTAATGCTACACTGATCAAATTTAAAGCCCAAATGACATGACAATTGATTATTTGAAATTTTTATTGGGGCCCAAATGATATGACATCAATTAAAGAAGTCCAAATCAACTGTCATGTCATTTGGGCTCTAAATTTAATCTCAAAATTTGGTCAATCTAAGATTACTGCAGACAATAATAACTTGACATCTCATCTTATTGATATAAATACACAAACCAATGTTCGGTAACTTAACTATTTTCACTTACCTTGGGTCATGTTGTAGTGGATATAATTAAACTGAATGGGGGCTTAAATTACAGGTAAAATAAGGTCATTAAATTAAATTAGACACAAATAACATTTCCAAAAAAGAAATAGAAAACTAAGTGACAGTCATCTGCTCCAACACATACGAGGGTGACCACCGATTATATCTTCGTCTTCTCTTGTCAAAATCGCGAGTGAGTTTTCTTATTATCCATTGTTAAATATCTACCTTTCCGAAAATATTTTTGTACTTAAGTTTTTTTTTCCTTAAATTTGACCCCAAAAAGAGTTTGTTATATTAATTTTTTGGTTTGGGTTTGGATATAAACTTTTTAGCTTCAGACCCAAATTATAAAAACTAAGAATGTCTGCTTGAAAGTCAAAAATTTTGTGTTTGAATCTTAAAATATAAAACCATGTTAAAGGAAAATTAAACCCCTACAATGGGTTATTGTGATTAATTACAACCACTCAATCTCTTTGAGATTCAGTCCAAATAGTCCCCCCCCCCCCCCCCCCTCCCTCCCCCTATATCAACAAAAATTCTGGATTATTGACTTTCATATTAGTACACTTTGCTGGTTAATATTTAAGGCAAATTACATTCACATTCTCTAATATTTGACTAAATAACACGGAGACCCCTCGACATTTCTAAAATTGTGTGATAGATGACCGACACTAACATGAATACTAAATGACTATTTTAACCCTTTAACTTAATTTAAAATAAATATATAATAAATAAAATATATTACAAAAAATTAAATTAGTAAGTCAAAAAAAATCTCTCTTCTATTCTTACTCATCCTTTCCCCCACCCCCACTCCTCCTCCTCCTCCTCCTCCTCCTCCCCCCTTTTTTTCTCTCTCTCTCTCAAATCCCCTAAGCCCCCAACCTCATTTCTCACTCATCCCTTAACCGCCACCACTCCTCCTCTCCTCTCTCTCTCTCTCTCTTTCTACTAACCTGCAACTCCTCTCTTTCTCTCTATTTCTCACAAATTCCTCAGACCCGCAACCTCATTCTCTATCTCTATCTCAGATCCCCTAGTCCTTGCTCCAACCCACCCAACCCAGCTGCCACCACCACTACTCCCAACCCCCTTTCTTTCTCTCTCTACCTCTTTTTTCTCTCTCTTTCTCACATTCCCTAGGCCCGCCCCTACCTACAGCAAACCCTACCACACCTAACCCTCCCAAACCCTACCACACCTAACCCTCCCAAACCCTATCACACTAAACCCTACCAAATCAAACCCCCTTGTTTGCATCTTAAAATATAAAACCATATTAAAGGAAAATTAAACCCCTACAATGGGTTTTTGTGATTAATTACAACCAATCAACCTATTTGAGATTCAGTCCAAATGGTCCCCACCCTATATCAACCAAATTCTAGATTATTGACTTTCATATTAGTACACTTTGCTAGTTAATATTTAAGATAAATTACATTCACACCCCCTGATATTTGACTAAATAACACGGAGACCCCTTGACATTTCTAAAATTACACAGAAACGCATTATCGACATCAATAGTTGACCGACATTAACATAAATAATAAATGACTATTTTAACCCTTTAAATTTATTTAAAATAAATATATAATAAATAAAATATATTACAAAAAATTAAATTAATAAGTCAAAAAAAATCTCTCTTCTATTCTCACTCATCCCTTTCCCCACCCGACCGTCATCGCCGCCACCACTCCTCCTCCTTTCCTCTTCTCTCCTCTCTCTCCTTCTACCAACCTGAAACTCCTCCTCCTCCTCCTCTTTCGCTCTCATAGATCCCCCAAGCCCCCAACCACATTTCTCACTCATCTTTATCCCACTCATCTGCTGCTACCACCACTCCTCCTCTTCTCATCTCTTTCTTTATACTAACTGGCAACTCCTCCCTTTCTCTTTATTTCTCACAAATCCCCCAAACCCCCAACCCCGTTCTCTATCTCTATCTCTGATCTCCCTAGTCCTCACCCCAACCCACCCCAACCCAACTGCCACCACTCTTAACCCCTTTCTTTCTCTCTTTACCTTCTTTTCTTTCTCCCTCTCAGACCCCCTAGGCCCCGCCCCCTCCCTGCAACAAACCCTACCACACCCAACCCAACTACCACCATGACCACTCCCAACCCACTTCTTTCTCTCTCTACCTCTCTTTTCTCTCTCCCTTTCAGATCCCCTAGGCCGCCCCCTCCCTACAACAAACCACACCACACCGATCCCAACTGCCACCATCACCACCATTCCTAACCCCTTCTTTCTCTCTCTACCTCTCTCCCTCTTAGATGGTATTTTTTATTAATCAAAATCTTGTCAACTAATTATCTAATGGTACTCCTTGTCTTATAAAGACTCTGCCTTCTTGAGGTCAAGGGTTCAAATCCTCCTCCCGAAAAAAATTGTCCTAGATGATGATATTTTTTTTTAATCAAACTCTAATGGTTTAATGTTAATTTTTGATTAATTTTTATAATTGCATAATTAATGTTGTTAAAATGATAAATTATTGATAATTAGTGGACAAGATTGTCTTAGAAAATGTTGGGCATGTTATAAAGAGGTAATTTTGGAAATAGATAAATTTTATTCCTTGACATCACTATTTTCTGTTAGTCAAACTAACGGCGAGAAGATGGAAGGGGTGTTTGTGTCATGATTTTTAAATCTCAGGGGGTCGCCGTGCAATTTTAGAAATGTTAGGGAGTCTCCATATTATTTGATCAAATCTCAGGAGGTGTGAGTGTAATTTATCGTAATATTTATCATTGAAAGTCTAATTTTCAAGTATTTTTTATTGTTAGGGATAATGTTGATATAGATATGTCAAATAACCACTATTTTTATGAGGTAGTTAAATTTTTTTTACAAACAGTGCTATGTCTTCATAAATAGGTTTTGTATTTAACCTTGAACTTTTTTCCAATGATGCAGGATGCACTGCCAACTGAGGTTTCTAGGCCTTCTATATTCATTGTATGTATTGTTATTTAATTAAAATACTTATCTATACTATTTTAAAATATCAAAATACTTAAAAAAAAACTTCAACTTTAACCCCAAATAATACAAGTATACCATCCTTATCTTTTAGAATTAACTCTATACTTTTATTTTGTCCTTAAATGATCTTCTCTTAAAAGATAATTATGCCTTAAACCAAAAATTTGGCTTAAATCTAAAAATAAAAAAAAATAAAATTTTGAGTTTCTATTTTCTTCATACATTTATAAATTATAAAAATGTATTATCTAAATCTATCATAAAAAAAACTGCTATAAATTCACATTTATCATCCATCTATTAGCTTTAATTTATTTATAGAATTGAGCCGGTTTAGAGTGTGCAATGACATGTCTTTAAATTGCAAGAATATTAATATACATTAGAAGTTGAACCAATTTTTGCATTTCCATTTTCCTCTTGTTTCACATTCTGTTATATCTGTATCTGTATTATTATTATTATTATTATTACTTCTAAAAGTCTTTTATCATGAAAAACCTTTATTTTTCTATTTTAACCTTAATTAATTCTTTCTAGACAATTTCATCCTTAGATTCTGAAAACTTGAGACATGTAGGATCATTTATTGTCCATTTAGTGAATCCTTTAAAATACAATAAATTAAAATTTCAAGAGATGAATAATGAGAACAACAAAATAAACTTTTTACATTTCCCTCAATGATTTGAGCCCTACCAATAATAGTATTTAACCTTTTAATCTGTCGTTTTATAACCCTACTAATAGTATTTAAGTCGTTATTCACATACCCCCACCTCTTCCTATTCCCACCAAATTAATTCAACGGTTGATACTCAAAACGTCGGAGCCGCCAATAGAGCCTGTGGTGTGGGGTTCTTGTGTTTTTT